CCGCAGACCTCCAAGACTCCTCCGATTCCCCCAGAGACAATTCTGCTTTTTGATTATAATTTGGGCACGCTACGCTTAGCAAGCACAGTGAAGAATCTCGTGCCGCCTTAAAGAGGAGCAAATGAAGTGGACTTTGTAAACCCTCATAAGCCACACTCCACTTCTCTTCCTCTTTTGGGTGGGGGAATCATTCCTCTGCACCCCGGGACCTACCCTGGCCGGCATCCGTGCCTCCCGTGCAGCTTGCTTTGCTGCCAAAATTTAGCAGCACAACGGTGGCAGAAGCCCCTGGATTTTCATCCTGAAACTGGGGCTGCAGGCTTGATTTAAAACAAGGGGTGCTTCCCTCATGTGCAACTTCTCCAGCTAAATTTACTTGGTTGCTGCTGCTCTTTCAGTAAACTCAGAAACGGCGCAGTCCGCGCAGGGTCGGCAAGCCACGGACTGGCCAGGTGCTAGCCCTGATCTCTAACATACCCACGGCAGCTTACAGTTTAGAAGATGTACGCATAAGGTCATCCCAGCCCTTAAACATCAAATCAAACGTGTAGGTAAATAGACAATATCTCTGTCATTTCCTGATCAAACAAGATTTCTGACTCATGGTCATTTCATGCTGCTTTGGTTTGGACACTTCGAACCAGCCTCTTTGTTTGGCTAAGCATGCCTTAATTTGAAGTGTAAATCCTTTGTATCTAAATCTTCATGGTGAATTGCGAAGCTTCAAAATGGGCTTTGCAAACCTGAAATATGTCTGCCCAGATCTGGAGGACCGGGAAAAGAGGAAGCGGGGGGGGGCAGAGAGTAACTGGCTGTGCTTCTGGTTCCTGTTCTTTTAATTTAATATTTAATTTAATTTAATTTAATGAGCTGGGCGGACATCGTTCAGGTGTGCTGGTGGGATGGGAGGAGCCAAAGGCAGCTGGTGTCTCAGCTGAGGCGCTGCAGTAGCCTTTCCTTTCTTCTGGTGCGCAGACGGTTTCGTATGCTAGAAATGGTGGTGAAGCATCACTAGAGCACTTATTTAGATCTTGTTTAGCTTGCGACAAGCAGCTCCATCAAAAAGGAGGTGTGGGGGCAAGTGGTTAAGAAATTTCGAAATGAGCAACTTGTGCTTTTGACTGTGAGAAGTGATACGCTGAGATCTAACGAGCAGGTAAGTGTTGTATTTATTTATTTATTCGATTTAGATCCCGCTTTTTTCTTGCAAAGAACGCACAGTGGCTTACATCATTCTCCTTCTCCTCCTCCTTTCAGTCTTATCCCCGCAACAACAACCCTGTGAGGTAAGCCGGGCTGAGAGTCTGTGCCTGGCCCAAAGTCACCCAGGCTAGGGTGTCTTTTTACTCGCACTGTATTTTAAATTATGTTAAAGTAAAAAAAAGAAGTCTCGTGGAAGTCACGTTAGAAAAGGAGCCCACGATGTACTTTGTGCAGAGCAACGTGGCAGCTAAGTTCTTCTGGCCAGTGTTGGCTCAGTAGGAAAAAAAAGAACCTGTTGTATCTGGTGTATCAGAAGATAGGCAAGGTGAACAGAGAGAATAGTTCCTTCTCAGTCTTTTGGCAGGGCATGGGATGACTCAGTTGTTGGAAAGCATTACACACAGGGACAAAGACAACTTTTTGCAGGCAGAAGAAAATTTTTCTAGAAAGTTCCAGCAGCAAACATGGGAATAGAGCCAGCATCTGGCTGCGGGACTAGGATGGTATCAAGCATTCTGTGGACTTTTGTTTAAAAAGATCCTGAAGAAAAATATTTAGCAATGCCATGGCGAAGGAAAACCTTATGTGCAGGGCAAAGAATTTACTGTGTTAACTGATCAGTGTGCAGGGGCGAGAAGAAAGGAGATTTGCAGACTTCAGTTCCCATCAGCCCCAGCCAGCATTCTTCTGTGATGGTGAGCTTTCCAAAATTAGCCGACTACAAGTTCCTTCAATTTGGAAAGGCGACATGACATGAACAACTAAGCAGTGTCTGTCAGTGGGCAAGGGTGGGACGAAACTCTGCACATGCTTAAGGCACCCTTGCTATCACCACCATCATTATTTAACTCTTCCTACAACTCATACATAAAGTGGAATTTGCCATCACATGAAGTAGCATTGGAGAAATACAAGGATTACAAGCCTATGAATGACTTTTTGGTGTCTCCAGTTTCAGAGGCAAGATACTCATGTACATCTGCTGCTGGGGAACATGGGTAGGAAGGTGCTCCAGCATTCATGTCTATCTTGTGGGGTTCCCAGACTGCTCTTCTGAATTTTGCACTATTTATTACTTATCAGAGATGGTGACTTTTAATTCAAACTACTTCCTGATTTATTTATTTATTTATTAAAACATTTCTATGCCGCCCCATTCGCCGAAGCCTCGGGGTGGCTCACAACATGAAGTTAAAATACGAAAAAAAATACAAAACATACGATCTCAGCTTGTCCAAGTAACCAAACAGAAAACAAGAAAGTGCTGGAGTAAGTGATTGTAATTATTAAAATAGATGTGTTTGGTGTTAAAATTTGGAAGATTCATTCCAGGCCTGTTTTGTTTCTGGGAATTGAGGAAAGGGACAAGGGTGGGAATCCTTGGCTGTGGGAAAGGGTAAAACGAGCCATGCGAAAGGTAGAGAAAAATCTAACAAGAATTGCCTGATTCGCCTAGCTGAAAACTTCTCCAAAGGCTGTTTGTGTCTCTGCCCCTGGGGATATTTGGGCTGGTATGTTCACCTATTTAATTCCTGCCTGAATCTCCCCCACCCCCCCAGAAAAACAAACCTTCCTGTTTTTATAGCAACATTTATTCGTATCAGCTTCCTGGTTTTTGCTTTACACCAGTGTAGAGCGAACACTATCCTCTCTTCCTTAGCTGCAGAGAACACATTCTTGGCCACAACAAACCAGAATTGGCTTGTTCAGTCTTGCTAGATCAACTTGGTTTATTCCTGGAATGCTGAAAGCGACTGAAATTGACGGGAATAGGGTGCCCACTTGGACGTTGTCAAAAAACACAGCACATATTGCCAAAAAGAGGGCAAAAGAGAACAGGGATTTGCATAAATGTGGCTTATGCTAATATATTCAGGTAGACTCACATTTGGAAATTTTTACAATTTAAATGGAAATACTGTATTTACACTAGAGTACCAAAGGCTTAAGGAGAAGTTTGCTTGCCTGTTTGCAGCCAGGCAGCCTTTCGGGGTATCTCTGTCTTTAAACTGGAGCGGGACTGGACCCTTCTTCCAGTGCAGGATACCGACCCTCCAAATAGCCAAGCACAAAAGGGAATCTCAGGCAGGCCTTGGGAGCCCAAGGAGAACCGAGGAACACGGTACCAGACCAAGGATTTCCGATCAGCACCAAAACCAAGGTGACCATTCCTTCCAAGCTAAAATTCACTCCCACTTTTCTTCTAAGCCTTCATTTTTAGACCTTGTCTTAGGAGAGGGAACTTGCTATGGTCAAGCAACTTGGAGTCTAAAGTCCTTGGATCCAGACTGCAAATCACTCGAATTTCTCAGCAGACCCACCTCCTCACCCCCCTTCTGCCCACCCCCGTCGGGCAGGCAGCCTTTTGGCTTCTCAGATCAATGATTATTTTATTTTATTTTATTTATTTAGGAGACTTCTGTGCCGCCCCATTTGCCGAAGCCTCGGGGCGGCTCACATCCATAAATAAACTTCCTTACAATAATATAAATTAACAGTATAAATTAAGTCGTAATTAAGTGATGTTAGTAAAACCCGGAGACCCACCCATTAGAGGCCGTTGCAAACCGTATTTTTTTAATTCGTTACAATGATCAGATCTTCAGACCGACTGGAGATCTTCCAGGCCAGCCCTTTGTAGACTCCACACTGCAAGCTGCATCTCTAAAGAGCCGGTCCTCCCCCCGTCCCTAAACAAACCGTCCAGGAAGGAAAACCCTTCCCACCGAGGCCGCTGAGGGGTTCTCACTTCCGGGAAGTTTCTCCCCGTGCCTGGCAGTGTTGCTTCGAGCTGTGCCCTCTTGGAGTGACAACGACCACACCTGCATCATTGCAAGAATCCTCAGCCCAAGAATTCGTTTCGAGCCCCAGAACAGAACGGAGGTTGAAATTCTGCCATACAGGAGCCCACTTCTGGTTACCTGGACCGGTGCATGGAATTCTTTTTTTTTTTTATAATAAGTTTTATTCACAACTTTTATTCCTAAAAATAAAGAAAAACTAAAAACAACATCAGTCATCAAAAACATCGAGTCTACTGGGTCAGCGCCCACATTTTTTTTCCATCTATGATAACATAGAAACAATCTATATGAAGTCCCGTTTCTCTCGCCAATAATAAAAAGAGTCCCAAGTTTGACAGAAATCAGTAACTTCTTTCTCCTTCAGTGACAAAGTCAGTCTATCCATTTCCGCGCAGTCCAAGATCTTTTTTAGGATCAGTTCCTCGGTGGGTGGTTCTTCACTTTCCCTCGCCGCAGCGATTACATGTACAATCAAGTACATTTCTTGTTTACTAATATCAGCAGGAATAACGCCTAATAAGAAAATTTCAGGTTTAAAAGCTAAAGATTTTTGTAACATTTTGGCCACGGGGGTTCACGAGACAAAGGTCTGTAGTTTGGACTCTAAATGCTGGAAGAAGGTGTGAATGGGTTTGCACAGCAAGAATATGGAGGAGGAGAAAGTAGTGGCGGAGGAGGGAGAGGGCGAGTGTTTAGAAGGGGAAAGTGCATTCCTTCACCCCAGACGTATGGGGTTCATCCTTCGCAGGCCCCCAGGAGTGGCTCGCGCCCCCTCCCTCCCCCCGCATTGCTGGGGGAGCAGAGTCCCTGGTTCAGAGGGGAGGCCGCCCGCCGTCTGTCTGCCCCCGCAGGGCTCCTAGGGCTGTGGGAGCGGGACTAACCGCCTGCTGTGCTTCTTCCAAGGGTCCCTGAGCTCCCGGCGCGGCCCGCCCGGAGTCCCCATGCCGGGGCGGACGGGCCCCCCCGCAGCGGCGTCCGGATAGGCTCCCCAGCATGGCCTGCCCGCTGCCGGCGCTGCCGCCCGGGCCCAAGGCGATGTCCCGCAAGAAGGCGCTGCTGCTGCTCCTGCTGGCCTCCAGCACGGCCACCCTGCTCCTGCGGCAGAGCATCCCCCTCGGCTGGTAGGGCTTGCCGGCTGGGCGGGCGGGGGGGGGGGGCTTCCAGGGTTGTGCAGGGGCTCTGCCCCCGCCTCACCGGGCCCTTGGCCCCCGGCTGGACGACGCTCCGCGTGCTGGGACTGGCACGTGTGGGGAAACGGGGGGCGAGCTGGGCTCCTGGGAGAGGCCAGCCGGGGCGCCAGGCGGTCGGGGCCGTGGGGAGGCGTGGGCCCCCCGGGAAGGCTCAGGGGTTCTGCTGGGGGAGGAGGCGGCGGGCGGGCAGGTGGGCAGCGGCAGGGCCCTGGTCACAGAGGAAGGAAGCCTGGCTGGAGTCGGGCGAGATTGGGGGGTGGATTCAAGGGGGAAGGGGGTGGAGCTAGAGAGGGGTGGGGCCAGGGAAGGGGCGGGGCAGGGGAGAAGGGGCAGGGCAGGGAAGAAGGGAAGGGGCAGGGCTGAAGGGGTGGGGCCAGGAAAGGGGCGGGGCAGGGAAGAAGGAAAGGGGCGGGGCAGGGAAGGAGGAGGGGGCGCTTTGGCTGCCCCGCCCCATCCCATCCCATCCCATCCCATCCCGCTCCGTCCCGCCAGGTTCCCCAAGCCGCCCCTCTTCCGCTGCGCCCCGCCGCCCCCGCGGCCCAAGCACACCGCCGTGGCCTTCCTGAAGACCCACAAGACGGCCAGCACCACGGTGCAGAACCTGCTCTTCCGCTTCGCCGAGCGGCACAACCTGACGGTCGCCCTGCCGCACCACACCTGCGACCACCAGTTCTGCTACCCGCGCAACTTCTCCGCCCGCTTCGTGCACCCGCACACGCTCCCGCCGCGCCTGATCGCCAGCCACATGCGCTTCCACCGCGACGAGCTGCGCCGCCTCATGCCCAACGGCACCGTCTACGTCACCATCCTGCGCGAGCCGGTGGCCATGTTCGAGTCGCTCTTCAGCTACTACAACCAGTACTGCCCGGCCTTCCGGCGGGTGCCCAACGGCTCCATGGAGGCCTTCCTGGAGGAGCCGCGCCGCTACTACCGCCCCCACGAGAAGTACGCCGCCTACGCACACAACACCCTGGTGTACGACCTGGGCGGCGACCCCGAGCGCGGCCCGGACGACCCCTCCTACCTGCCCGCCTTCGTCCGCCAGGTGGAGGGCGTCTTCTCGCTGGTGATGCTGGCCGAGCACTTCGACGAGTCGCTGGTCCTCCTGCGCCGCCTCCTCGCCTGGGACCTGGAGGACGTCCTGTACGTGCGGCTGAACATGCGCAGCCCCGAGTCCAAGCTCAACATCACCTCGCCCCGCGTGGCGGCCCAGATCCGCCGCTGGAACGCCCTGGATGCCCAGCTGTACGACCACTTCAACACCACCTTCTGGCGCAAGCTGGGCGAGGTGGGCCGGGACTGCGTGGCCAAGGAGGTCCGCGCCCTGCGCCGGGCCTGCCAGCGCCTGGCGCGCCGCTGCTTCGGGGGGCAGCCCCCCCTGCGCCCCGCGATGCAGATCAAGAACAAGGACCTGCGGCCCTGGCAGCCCAGCGCCAAGGTGGACATCGTGGGCTACGACCTCCCGGGTTCGGGGACTCCGGCGGACGAGCAGTGCCTCAAACTGGTCATGCCCGAGGTGCAGTACTCCCGCAACCTGCTGCGGAAGCAGAGCCTGCGGAGCCGGCGGAGGGCGGCCCCCCATCGCCCCCTCCCCCCGAGAGGGCTCCTGCGCCCCCTCCGGCACCCGGCGCCCAAGGCGGCCTGAGCATTTGGGCCCTTTGGCTTCCTAGGGCTGCGCCTGAGCCGCTGCTGCACCTGGGGAGAACCGAGGCTCTTCCGCTCCCTCCTGGGGCCGCCAGAGATTCTGACCCCGTTTTGGCCCGGGGAAAGCTCAGGAGCCGGGCGAGCGGGGCTCTCGTCCGTCCGGCACGGAGTGCGTGAACTGCCTCCGGCCAGCCAGGCCTCTGAGGCCCCAGCGGGGCATTCTCGTTGGGCTCGCTTCTCCCGTCCCTCGGAGGAAAGACAGCCTTGCGGGCGCCCAGGCAGAATCCGGGGCCGCTGCGAACGGGGAATGCACCGAGGCGCCTCCGTGGTTCCTGCACTGCCCCTTCACCGGGCATCCACATACCCACTGGCCCCTCCCCTGTGTTTTCCCAGCACTGCTTCCGGGTTTTTTTTGCTTACTATAGAATGTCGTCTTTGCCGGGGATGATGGTCACACAGTGCAATTACTGCTCGAAGCAGGGTGGCGCACGCTCCCTGGCGAGAGGCACCGGGCCAGAGCTTGCATCTTCTCGCTGCTGCAGAACCCATGCCCCAAACCCGGCACACATTTTTCTCCATCCTGAAAAGCCGGGCTGCCTTCTCTGGCCACCTGGTTATGGGCAGTTAGCGTTTTCAGGTAAAATACGTCCCTGCCCTTTTTGCTGCTAGCCCCGGAGGGAGGCCCCCGAGAGCGTCTCTGGACTGGCACTGGGCCCTCAAGCTGCAGGAGGCTCTGCATCCCTGCTGTAAGGACACGCGCACGTGCGTGCACACGCGGGGTTGCGATGCCGCCCCTGTCGGAGTCAGTACTGGATCCCAAAAAGCACGTGCAAAGACACAGGGACCGTGTCAGGGCCGCTGGCGTGGATGAAATGTCTGGGGACTTGCCAAAGAAAAAGCACAATATTGCCCCTGGCGATATGGGAATCCAGCACCGGCCGTGCGTGCCGCTTAATGCCTAAGAGCAAAGATTGAATGGCTCAAGGAGCCGTGTAGTTTGTAGGCACCCCCCCAGGAGAAAGGTGGTGGCGCTCGTTGGCTGCTTCCCCCCATCTTTGAACGCATGCATTGCCTTGCATAGAATCATAGAGTAGTAGAGTTGGAAGGGGCCACGGAGGCCATCCAATCCACCCCCTGCTGTTGCAGGACACCACGTCACCCCACCCCACTCAGAGGGCTGCCCGGTTTCGCCTTGAATGTCCCCCGCGTGGGGGAGCCCCCCACCTCTCCGGGCAGCTGGTCCCACTGTTGCATTGCTCTGACAGTGAGGAAGCTCTTCCTGATGCCCAGCCTGAATCTGGGCTGTCGCAACTTGAACTGATTATTCCGTGCCCGGCACTGCGGCCTCAGCAAGAAGAGAGCTTGGCCTTCCTCTTTGTGGCAGCCCTTGAGGTGCTTATGGAGGGATACCGCGTCCCCCCCAGGCTGATCATGCCCCGTTCCCTCGGCCGTTCCGTTCCAGCTGTTATTCTCCACCTCTGCTTTGCAGCCCATCTCCATGCTGATGCCTGCTTGCACCTGTCTGTTCTGTACTCTCACACCCTCCAGTTTGACCACAACCCAGTGACCCCCCCCCCCCCGTTGGCCAGTAATCCAGTGCCCATCCTGTCCGTGCTCCCGGGCTTTGTATGTCTTCAGCACCTCTTTCAGCACTCCCCAAAATTTAAACATCATAACCCAAAAGACGCCTTATGGCATCTCGGTACACGGGACCTCGGTGTGTTTTCTCAAACAACAAATGGCTTGCCAATAAAAACCGGTTCTGCTCCAATGACGTGTGCACACTGAGCTCTGTTTTGCTTCCGAGGAGGCCGGGCGCTTCGTGGGCGAGTGTTGTGGTGGTGTAGCGGAACCGGGGCTTGCAGGGCTGAAACGCCCGCACTTTTTAAACGGTTGATTTCATCTGCCATCCCTTGCTAAAAATCCCCTATTTCCTCGGACCTGGGCAACTGATTTCCCACTTCTTGCCCAGGACTACGGTGATCTGATAGTGACTTGTGTTTTGCCCAGACCCTCAGTGTTTGGAAAAGAAGCACCTGTTCTCTCATCCACCTTGGATTAAAGTGCAGTTTGTCAAACCTTGCAGGAATGCAACACGGGGATGTCTTATCAGCCACCCCACTCAGAATCCCCTGCACCTTCTGAGTTTCCCTGCAGTCTTGGCTGAAGGAGACATGAATTTTCCTGGCGTTGTTCTGATGTTGTAATAAAAAGCAATTTTGGGGGTAGCTTGGTCCTGAATGTGCCATTTGGTCTCGTCCGCTTGACAGAAGATCTGCTGAGCTGGTCTGTCTATAACAATGAACACAACGGCTTGCAATTTTCGGATGCTCTGGTGTGTGTGTGAAGGTGCCCAGGGCTTGCCCCCCCTCCTTTTACTGGCCCTCCCCTGGGAGGAAGACTGGAAGAGGAGCTGCGGCTTCTTAAAGAGGTTTATTTGCTTATCCTCCAGAGATCTTCCCTGCAGATTGGCCTGGTTAGAAACTTGGCTCCAGAGTGTGACAAGCCCAAGGGAAAAGCTAATTTCAGCTTCAGAACCTGGGAAAGATTCCCTGCCAGGCTAGGAACTGGGGCACGGCGATGGAAGCTCTGTGCCGCTGAGCTGGCTCTCCCTTCAGAGACCAAGGGCAAGAGGAAAAGGTAGGATCCTGCCCCCAAATTTCTGGCAGAATTCCGTGGATTGCCTGCTTCTCTCGGCTTCGCTTTAATCAGGTCCAGCCCAGCTCAACCGGAGGCGTGACAAAGGCCTGGAACTTAACCTGCCGGCAGTGCGATTCTGTTTCCTCTTTTAGCACCCAGATGCAGACCAAAAGCCTGCCATTTCCCCCCAGGTTCTTTATCGCAATTTGCAAACGGCTACAAGCATTTCATTTGCAAAGTCCGTAGTGGGGAGCTGACAGGATCGGGTTCATTCGGAACCTCCTGCTAGGGAAGAGAATAGGCCAGAGCGAGGCTCTTCCGGAGTTCAGACAGCCGCTGTTGTCAGGTCTGCAGAGAAGGTGTTGGGAAGATTATAATATTTGGGGCGTTTTATTTGTGCGCAAGGCGTGTGTGTGCAGGAGAGCCCGTGGGGCGTGAGAGTGCCAGACTGGGAACCTGGGAGGGTCAGGTCCCAGTGAGTGCACTGGCTGACTTTGGGCCAAGCGGTCGGTCTGCCTGGCCTACCTCATAGGCCTGTTGTGAGGCCAAAAGCTGGCTAAAAAGGGTGGGGTATAAATGCGATGTTCTCGTACCACTGCTAATAATCTGACGAAGATGCCATAATAAATTTGTGAGTCTTAAGATGCTGCAAAGAGAACAGTTTCAGGAGTTCCCCACACACACACCTGGCACCCCAGGTGACTTTCCCTCGTTCCTCCAGCCCAAGGAGCCAAGCAGCCACCCTGCGCGGCGTATGGACCGAGCTGTGCGCTCGCCAGAACCGGGCTCGGGCTCGGAACGAGCGGCTGCTGAGAGACTTTGCAGCGCTGGAGGCCCATCTGGCAGCCCTGTCGGCCAAGACAGGCGCTCTGAGGAGGAGGAAGGTGAGAGGAGGACCTGGCCCCGGAAGGGGTGCAGTGGGACGAGGCTTGCAAGGTTCTGGGATATTGGTGACATCTTTAAATTTGGAGCGTCTGGGACGATTGACGGTGTGGCAGGCGAGAGTGGTGGGTGCATCAGCAGCAAACCTATGATGGTTTGAACAAAAAAAACCACTTTAGCTTGTCAGGCCAAAAAAACCCCACAACTGTGAAGAGAATGTGAGCCTGGGACTCCCAGAAGTTACACAAAGGATGTTCGTTCGTTCTGTACTGCTGCTTGGCACCCAGAGCTAGCTGGCTGTCCCCTGTTGGAAGCCGTGCGCTGGGCTAGCTGAGCCCTGATCTTGCTCTGCTGGAACTAGATTCAATCGTCTGTGAGAGGCAGGACAGGAAGGCTGATGCCATCCTGGAAAATTAGAAACGTGTTGGGAGATGACTGAGTCGGGGTGGGAAGAATCTGAGGCCCACATCCGAAGCTCCGCTTTTTGTCAGAGAGAATATGAAGAGTCCATCCGGCGTCTGAAGAGGGATTTGCAGGCGGACCACGGGCCTGGCGCGAGGCAGGTATGGAGCTCAGGAGCCTTTTGTATTGGCTGCCAACGCCCATTTGATCTTTCCCTTGGTAGGGAATTTCGCATCTCCGACAGACAGCCCAGTCCCTCCACGAGATCGTCGTGTTCAGACAACAGGATAACTCACACTTAAAACCTTAAGTGGGGGCTGTTGTGGAATTGTGGTTTGTTGTTGAAATGTGGGTTACTGTGTTGTCCAAACCCAGCGGCACTGACAAACCGTGGCTTGTTAACCCCAGCCAACTGATGAAGAAAACCTGTGGTTTGCTGTTGGGTTGTGAAGTGTGGCTTGTTGATCGCGGTTTATCATCTGATCACCCACACTTCAACCACAACCAACAATTCGAACGACAGTCCACACTCCGCTCTTGACTAAGGATGATCATGTTGTCTGAACTCAATCCCGGCCTAGCTTGTACACTAATTCTGTTTCAGGTCTTCTTCCTTGCATGAGATGAGGCCCCTTTAAAATCCAAATTTTTGCCAAGGTAGGATACTCAACATTTGGACGATAGCTCTGCATTTCGGCGCTGAACACCCATTGCTAAAAGCAGGAATGGGATCCATCTGCTGGTGGATTTTAAAATCACTTTTCTGCCCCCCTCACCCATATCCCTAAATTTCACCCTAGCATTCCACAAGCAAATACCCAAAATTGGAATTGGACTGCAATATTGTAAGCGCTTTTGTGCATCCTTGTGCCCGTTTCCAGCTCTGGCTTCCTTGTACCTCCCTTTTATTCTCTCTTTGGATCCAGGACTGGGTCTCCGCACCCCGTTTAGACCTTCCGACGAGGTTGGCCTCCGCTGCCTGGAATAAGCACCTTCCTTCGGAAGCTGTCTACCAGAGAGAGCCCTTGCCATCTGAGACTGCGTTGCCCTGGGCCCCTAAAGCTCATGGGCCCTTGC